ACGAGAGCTGCCCCCAGCTCTGAGCAGGCTGGTCAGCCTTCAGGGTGACGGGGACCCAGGAGAATCTGTGGTTCAGGTTGCTCCGGACCATCTCACCGGACTGGGTGAACTTAATTTTATCTTCAGAGCAGTTCAAGAAGCATTTTGCTGCCTAACAGGAAGGGACGGCCACGTTGAAACTTTACTTCTCTGGTTCTTGACTTTTCTTTTAAGATTTACGAGTTCTCCTCCAATTATATCAATATCAAAGCCTGGCCTCCCCGTGTGTCTTTCGGTTAGTAAATACTACTTCCCATGGCCTGACCTTTCAGATTGCCACCATTGTAAAATGGGTGGACGGAGAGAGGTATTGTTCCATTTTACAATGAAATGGAGGAAGGAGGGACCTGTTGGCTCCCCAAAGCCAGGGAGTGGCAAAACCCAGACAAAACTTGCAGGTTTCTAGTGTTTTATTTTAAATCTTGGGTAGATGTGGCCTGAGATAGCACAAACCATCAGCATCAAGAAGCTTACTGAAGAACAAAAAATCTGAAATAGCAATAAAAGTCAAGAAATAGTGCTATTGAGTAGCACGTAGTCAAAAGCCAATGCTTTGCTATTGCCCTGGGGTCAAATCCAACTCCTTGGCCAGCATCCTGGGTTCCCAGGATCTAGTTCTAATGTTTCTGGGAAGTCTGTTGTTAGCTGCTTTCTGAACACAACCCGCTTTCACAGCACAGTGCCAACGCTTAGGTTGTGTTCTTATCAGAGGCCTTGGTTCTCTACGTATAGAAACCGCACGTAGTTCTCAAGATTGAACTCAGATTTCTTTCCAAGGTGAAACTTCCTGGCAACTTCAAGCAGACTAATAATAGCTAATACTTATTGAGCTTATTACTTGTGTGGTAGACACTAGTTTAAATCATTTAGGCGTTTTATTTTCTTGATCCTCTTGCTAATCCTATGAGAATTTGGTAGATTGTAAGAATGGCCCCAGTCTCATATATACGTGTTAGCATATGGTATTTGTCTTTCTCTTTCTGACTTACTTCACTCCATCCTTCCCCATAGAAACACCCCATTATAATGTGGCTTGGTTGCCCTTCGCATCAAGAGTGGAGTCTATTTCCCCACCCTTTGAGTGTGAGCTGGTTTTGTGACTTGCTTTGACCAATAGAATCTGCCAGAAATGACTTTGTGCCGGGTCCAGGTCTGAGCCTCAGGAGGCCTTGTCTAATTCAACTCTCCCTCTCTGAACCCTGCCGGGTGCGATGTGCAAAAGCCCAGGTTAGCCTGTGGCGGATGAGGTACCACATGGACCAAGCCATTGCCCAGCTGACCTGATATCTGAACTCAGCTGTGTGACTGAGCTTAGCCGAGGCGGAAGAACTAACACACCCCGAATTACCGCCCTACAGAACGCTGAGCTAATTAAATGGCTGCCATTTCAAGCTATTCGTTTTGGGGGTGATATGTTCCATAGTAAAATTAGCTGATAAAGAAAGGTTCTATTACTATCATTTTACCAATGAACAAAATGAGGTGCAAAGAAATCAAGTAAATTTTTCAGGGTCACACAGCATTTCAAAGGTACAGCTGAGATTCAGACCCCACAATCTGACTCTAGAGATGAGCCAGTCTGCTACACTGGCCACAGAAGAAATGCCTGCCTCCTGTGACCTACATTTATTCATTCATCAAGCATATGTCAAGTATTTATTATATACCAGACAATGTGGTAAACACTGAAGATACAATGATGAATAAAACTGCATTCTTGCCCTCGAGGGGCTAACATTCTAATGGAGGAGACAGGCAGGTAAATTACACACAGCAAGTGAGTAATTACATTGTGATAATTGCTCTAATAAGGGTATGTGTAATGAACTACTGGAGCAGAAAGGAGCAGGTTCTTAACTTTCTTATAGCACTTATTATCTGTAATATTCTTTTCACATTTATTATTTACTTCTTTGTATTATTAGTTGCTTATTTAGGAAAATATGTTTTATGATCTCAGCTAGATTATAAGTTTCTAGGGTAGAAAGAGCCTAGTGCCTGGTAAAACTTCCCATGGAGCCTGACTCTGTATCTCGCCCATAGTAGTTATTCAATAAATATGTTGATGGACTATGAAAGCTAATTTTTCAAATTTATCAGGGTAACTGCAGAAAGAACAAGGAGATATGTTATAATCAGAGACTGTGTTTGGCATTTGACTAAAGTGGTATTATTCAATTCTTTGATTATATTGACCTATTATCTAAAAATTAATAAAAGTCTTTATAATATTGTGAAGTAAGCAATTTACTGTTCACAGCACATAGATAGGAGTTTGATGGGACCTCAGTGAGTGCTTCCCTCAAATCTCACCTATGGCAATCATCACTCAGCAAAGTGCTCTAAATCCTTGAAGAGAGCCGCTACTTGTATGGACATATTAAACTACTAAGCGTACATAGCACAGAACCATATTTCTAAGCCTGGACTCTGGAAGCAGATCACCTGCATTTGAATCCTAGCTCTGCCTCTTTCCTTCTGTGTGACCTTGGGCAAATAATCTCTCTCTGCCCAGTTTCCCTATCTTGAGGATCAGGATAGTTGCAGCACCGCCCTCCTAGGGTTTCATGATGCTTAAATTTTTGTACGTATTTGTAAAAGTGCTTAGAACAGTTCCAGATACATAGTGTCATGTGAATGTTTGTTAAATAAAAAATAAACATATGAAGCTAAAGATTTTTTTCTTTTTCGGCTTCCTTTTTCTTTTCTGCACACACTGTCTAGTGCTCAACAAATACTGGATGGAGGAAGGAGTAATGACATCTACTTTTCTCAAGGGTGCAATGATTCATGATGCTGTTCAAGAAGCAACTGGTCACTTTAACGAAAGAACCTCTATTTTTGACTTTTCATTTTAGATATTTTATGTTACAGTTTGTTTACCTATAGTTTTAAAAGTCATCTTTCTTTTATCTTTGGGGACATTTGGCATTTCACATACATGTCTTGAGTAACTGAGATTCTAAAAAAGTAAGGATATTTATTATTAATGATAGTTTAATGATAGATGGCAGAATATATTCCTGATTCTGAAAAGCAGCTCTTTGGTGATAGTTCTTCATGCCAATGACTGAGATGAGAGAGGATGTTGTTGCACTTCAGCTTCTGTCTTTTTTTTTATTTTAACTGGAGTATAGTTGATTTACAATGTTGTGTTACTTTCTGCTGTACAGCAAAGTGAATAAGTCATGCATATACATATTTCCACTCTTTTTTAGATTCTTTTCCCATATAGATCATTACAGAGTATTGAGTAGAGTTTCCTGTGCTATACAGGAGGTCCTTATTATAGCTTCTGTCTTTGATGTTACCTGTGACTCTGGACAAATCACTGTTCTTCTCCAGGTCTCAATTTCCCCATATATGGAGAGAGAGAGCATTTGGAGAGAGGTAGCATTTCCTTCATTTAACTACTGTATAGGTTTGCACTGAGGGGAAGTGGCTAGAGTGAATGGTCCACAAGAACAATTGGGAACGTTCTTAGCGACTTGTGGAATGAGATGAAGATTTAGATAATAGAAGAAGAAAAATCTTCTTTGCTCCCTGAAAAGCGCCCAGAGGCTTGGGGCAAGAGGTATTTACCCAGTCATCTTTCTGGAAGTAGTCAAATGCAAACAACAAATCCAAAATTGAAAGTATTTTGAATGTATCAACAGAAATTATATTAGATACATTCACAAATAAATGCTTTTTTAAAAATTCAAACAGAAAGTCACAAAAATTATAATCATCCTCATCAGTTCACTCAGTCCCATGTAATTAATTTTTTTCATCTTGATCTTTTGTTAGCACTTTTATGAATTCATCAGTTTTCCATTAGAGTTCTGAAAATGCTTATTCATTCAGTTCAGCAGTATAGTCAGTTACCAGAAACCTGTACTTGTCAGTCTTTTCCATGAATTCCTTGAAGATGAAACCCTTTTATAATAAATGCTTTTATATGCATCAAAATTTTCAAACAGTTGGAGTTTATGGAAAAGTATTTGTTTTACTGTAGAAATGCCCTATTCCAAATGTTCATTAAAGAAAGGCATGGAACTCTTTCCTTATAAGCAAGACAATGTACCTTTATCATAAAGAGTTATCATCCAGATTTGCAAATTATCCTAATCACCTTCTCCACCCTCAAATATTTCTTTTATTTGTGGCAATATTTTTTCTTTCTCTTACTGATTCTTAAAAATGAAGGTAAGTATTGCTGTGTTGCAATATTCACCAGCCCGTTGAAATTTTTTTTTTATAGTTAATAGAGAAAAATGACCTAAGTTTTTTAGTCAAATACTTATATGCCTAATCATTAATTATCATTGTATCATTACAAGGACATACTATCTTGACTGAGGTCCAGTTTTCCTTAGAGATGACCTGTTTATACCTTGAAATATCTGTTTATTTCTGCTCTCAGCTTCTTTGATTAGTGCAAATTTTCCCAATTTTTCAATTTTTAGAATAATATTTCTCTGTTGCTCTGTCTTATCCCTTTCTCCATATCCTCTTTACTCCTCTATGCCTTCTCAGTATACCCAATCCCATTTTTAATTACATTACGTTTTATAATACAATATTTCATAGTATTTCAGTAAAGTTTCAAATTGTTCAAATTCTATGCATTAGTAGTTTTATTGTTGAAGAACCGTCTGACCGTTTGGATAAATTTTGGGAGTCGGCTGGCTTAGGTGACAAATAAAGAATTCTGCTGGGTATTTCATTTTATTTTACTTTTTTAAAGACAACTGACTACCGAATGGATACGTTTTCTCAAAATCTGATAGTAACAGGCAGCCACTGCTAATACAACCCGATAAATCTGAATTGGAATCTTTTCATTTTGTCTTTACATCTTATTGAGCTCACCAATAGGACTGATTTAAATTCTCTGTGGGGACTTAAATCCCATCTGCAAGAATATTTTGTCCAGTTTTATCTCGTTTTATGTGAATGAAGTCCATAGTTTACTGAAATTTCCTTAGTTTTTACCTAATGTCCTTTTTCTGTTCCAGGATCCCATCTAGGATAAACACATTACATTAAATTGTCATATTTCCTTAGTCTCCTTTTGGCTATATAGCTTCTCACACTTGTTTTTGATGACCTTGAAAGTTTTTAGGGATACGGATCAGATAATTTGTAGAATGTTTCTCAATTGGGAGTTGTCTGATGTTCTTGTCATGATAATACTGGGGTTGTGGGTTTGGGGAAGGAGGACCACAGAGGTAAAGCCCCATTTTAATCACAGAATATCTAGTTGATGTTAAACCTGATCACCTGGCTGAGGTGGTATTTGCAGTAAAGGTACTTTTTATTTTTTACTCCTCTTTCTATAAAGAGGATGTAAGTTTTATTCACAGCCCACACTTAAGGGGTGGAGGGTTTAGCTCCATCTCCTTGAGGGTAGAGCACCTACACAAAAGATTTGAGATTTGTCTGCAAGGAAGATTTGTCCATTCTCCTGTATCTATTTTTCTTTATTTAGTCATTTATTTATATCAGTATGGGCTCATGGATATTTATTTTGTACTTTGGGTTATAATCCAATACTACTATATTTATCTTGCTGCCGGAACTGTTCAGCTTTGGCCATGGGCAAGTCTTTCTGTTGGCTTCTATATTCCTTGACATACTCCCATCGTTACCTTCCTCCCTCACTCCTCCCTCCCTCCCTTCCTTCCTGGCATGGCAAAATACTGCATGCTCATCTTGTTTATTTCATCCCCCAGTCCTAGAATCAACAGTTTCTCCCAGGGACCCTGTTTGCCTTTTTGGAGACTGGTGTTAGGAACAAAGATCTGGACATTAGATTGATAGTTGATACTGGGGTGTTTCTTTTAGACATTCTCAGCTGACAGAGCAAGCTGTATGTACACATCTATACATGTTTCTATATGTAACCATCTGTATCTATATTAAGCTCAACATGAGTTCATACTGATGTCCCTAACTCTAATCCACTAACAGCCAACTTAATTTTAACTAAAATGGTTTATGTGGGAAAAACAGGAGGAGAAGGAAGAACAGGCAAAACAGTGTCCCTGCTTTGGGGTGGATGAGACCAGAGAGGACACTGAACTCCCAAAGGATGTAAACAAGGGCTCCAATGGAGGAAGAAACTATTAATACATCCTTTAGTAACAATTTTCAGGTTTACTATTAATAGGGTTATACTTCAAACATTTTTAGGGTAACATGCAGCAAAGGAATACTTTGCAACAGAAGTCCAATATCTTTTCAGTTGGACTTTTCAAAGTCCGATATCTTTTCAATAGGAGAGATGTCAGGATTCTGTAGCCTGAGAGGGAGACTTCAAACACAGCTCTATTGGGAGGAGGCTATAAGACAAAGCATCCCAGCCTAGTCCGATCTTGCTTCTCTAGGCCATTGATCCTGATGACCGCTGGAAGATCCTATAAGAGGGGTGGTGAGGGGTGGTTGTAGCTACAGTTCACCTAATAGTTCAATGTCCTGTAGGAATAGTAGGAAAGAACATGGGACTTGGAATAGAAAGAAATGGATTTGAGGGTCACCGCCACCATTTGTTAGTAATATAAATATCCTAATATCTCTAAACCTTGGTTTTCTCATTTGTGAAATAATAATAATTTCTATAATATTTATTTTTTAGGGGCAGTGTAATGATCAAGAAAGCTAGCATGTGAAAGTAATTTGTGAACTGAAAAAACAATGCAGAAAGTATTCTTATTTATATTCTTCACAGTAGGAGATCACACATATGTAGGTAGTTGCAGGTGATATAGCATGGTGGTCAAGAAAGTGAATTCTGGAAAGAGACTGCTTAGGTTAAAATCCCAATGACACAGTTCACTAATTGTGTAAAGTTGGTCCAGAAACAATTTCACTGAGATTCAGTTTTCTCCTAGATAAATGAGGTTCATTTATCCCATAAACTCATTGTGAGAATTTGGTGGGAGAATGTCTCGTACATGGAAAACACTCAATATCAGTTTGGTGAACCCCAAATAATTAATTCACAAGAGAACTGAGAAATAAAGCCATCCTCATGTTAACTTTCCGTGGATTTTAGTTTAATCATCTATGGAGTGGGGAGGGGGTTTGTACAGTTGCTAACTTCCTTTTCAGCTCTAAACCTCAAATTCTGAATCTCTGTTTCCTTGAAATGCTGATTGAGGCATGGGAAATGCACTCCCAGTTCATAATGCAGAATCTGGGTAAATTTCTTGAAGTAAGCTAGAGGGATTGGCCCCTCAATTTAGCTATGACGCATTCCCCCCACTTCAGTGATCAGAGAAGGCTACAGTAGGAAAGGCCCTCACTTACACAGGCCCCTTCCAAATCTCTGGGAGGGGCCTTGGCAATGTGTAAAATCTGCAAAAACAAGACATTTTAATTGCAATCAGTGGATTGCTATTTCCACTTTGACTTTCCCTCCTGTCAGATGGTATGGGAGGGACATTGAACATTTTTGAGAGATGGTGAAAGGGAAGGTGATCCAGGAATTTAGTGCAGATTGAGATAGTAGGATGTATTTATGTGTTCACCATTACAGATGTTCCTCCACTTAGAGTGGGGCTATGTCCCAATAAATCCATCATAAATGGAAAATACCATAAGTTGAAAATGCATTTAATACACTTAACCTACCAAATATCACAGCTTAGCCTGGCTTCATGCTCAGGACACTTACACCAGTTAACAGTTGGGCAAAATCATCTAACACAAAGCCTGCGTTATAATAAAGTGTTGAATAGCTCATGTAAGGTATTCACTGCTGTGCTGAAAGTGAAAAACAGAGTGGGTGTCTGGGTACAGCATGGTTGTATGTGTATTGGTTGTTCACCCTCGTGGTCACGTAGCCGACTGGGAGCTGCAGCTCACTGTCTCTGCCCAGCATCACAAGAGTGTATCTTACCAGATGTCACTAGTCTGGGAAAAGATGAAAATTCAAAATTTGAAGCAACATTTCTACTGAATGCATGTTGCTTTGTATCACTGTGAGTTAGAAAAATTGTAAGTCATCGAAAAATTGTTAAGTCGAACCAACGTAAGTCAGGGATTGTGTGCACTTCCAAGCGGTTGCTAGTCCCCCGCAGTGAAAGAAGGACCAACAGAAATATTCTGACTTCCCACTGTGCTGACTCACACAAAATAGAGATAAGAAGGTGTAGGAATGGAAGTTATATTATCATGTGAGTGTGTACCATTGAAACAGTTCCTGAAGAACGTGGAGGTATTTAAGATGGTTCTCTGCACAAGAAAATTTGAAATCTTACAGCTCATATATGAAAGAACTTACGGAGTTTCTCTCAAATATGCATATCACCCACACATACAAGTTGGGAAGCTGAAAGAAATGTTCTAAGCTACAACAATAAAAAACCCAAATTTTGATCAATCATGTTAAAAGAAAGACTAGAAAGACTAATATTTTTTTTTTCTCTAGAAAATAGTGTTACAAAAACTTTGCCATCATGCTAATTGAAAACTATGAAGCCAAAATTTCAGGGAAAAGAGTATTAGGGAGGTGTGTATTTGTCAGTTATTTAGTTAAAATTATGTGATTTTCATGGGTTATTTATGTTTGTGGTATTGCTAGCTTTTTAATATTTGTAATTTTATGCACCAGAGAATGTGTATCTGCTCCTGTATGTACCCCACATTTGCTTCTTTGAGGATCCTGCCAAGTCTCTTAGAAGAGGCGGTGGGAGTAGATGGATTTCTCTGATGTACAAAGATGCAAGACTGAATTAAGATTTCCTTTTAGATCCTTTGTATTTCAGGAATCTTCTCCATGAAACGAAGAGTTGAGACTCTCAGAGCTTCCTTCTGTTTGTACGGCTCCTTCCCTACTGGCTTAGAAGAAGCTGGTGGCTCCCAAGGGCTCAACTTGCTACCTGGCAATTGACTCAGGCAATTGACTTGGACTTGTATGTTCCAGTTGTGCTGACGGATTCCACTATGCATTCATCGTTCATTCATTCATCAGCAAAATATTTACTGTTATGTGTAAGGTGACCTCTGCACTCATATGTTTTTTCCTTAGAACAAATGCTTTGAGGTATGTGCAACGGAAGAACTGGCACTGTATGAAAATTTGACTATTTGATTATTTAAGCACATTGTCACTTATCGATAGGGGTCTGAAATCTGCGGAAATTTAGAAACTCTTCTGTTATCTTACCTCCTAACCTGGCTTTTCTTGAAATCATACAGATTCCTGATAGCAATTTAGCAATCTCTACCCCAAATATCTTTATTCCAACGGCAGAATCTGAGGGTTTATTTGAGCTAAATGCATCTCCTAATAAAAATGCAATTTATTAAAGTGATTTAAAAAGTGCCAAATTATTTTGGAAAATAATGTATTGTTGATCGAAACATCTGAATCACAACTTAAGTGGTCAAGTTCTCTATTCCAGGGTAGACATGGTGATTTTGTATGTATGTATACATGCATGCGCACATATATGTGCACACATATATGCATTCATGTGTACATGTGAATTTCATATTTACATACATACACATCTAAATACATAGATATACATATATAGTATATCTAATTACTGTATACGTGCACTTTGTAAAACTTAAGAATTACTGTACCCATCCTTAGAGGGAATAATCTATTAAAATATGGTTTAGGACCAACTTAATAGCTTTAGTAGAGAAAGAAATATTACCTGTGTCCTATGACCTACGTGGATTTTACTATTTAGGAATACATACACTTGTTTGCTCAGTGGCTTTGTATATTTCCCAAGAGTAGGGTGCCAGGTGGTAGGTGCCAACACTAAGCAAAAAATTTGCTGTCACCTATAAATATTTCAAAGGGGACAACATCAGTCCCCAGTATCCAAATTCTTGTCCAGCTCTGCCCCTAAGCAGGGAGTGAATGGAAGGCATATGCTTTAAGTGAGGGACTATCAGAGCCCATCTCTGGCATCCAGGCAGCAAATAGTGGCAAATGAGTCTGAGCTGTGGATCAGCTAGAGGGTAATTGATCATTCTACCCTCTAACCACAGCAGGTGACATCAACCTGTTATCACAATAGCCTAGTCGAAAATGAACAGGAGGTTGTGCCTGTCTCCCAGAATCCCCTTCACGTTGGAGGTGCTCTCCTGTTCACTCTCCCATATACCCTACTGAGAAACTCTACCATGAGGGCCCAAGGGTAACAAATAATTTCTGAAGTTGTAGCTTACTGTAAGCTTTCATGCACTTACTCTTCTGAAGAAAATGAATTTACTACATAGAATCGCACTCCTCTTAAAATATCCCTGGCTCTCCACAACCTACAGATATATAACAAGCCAAAAAGTACTGATGGACGCTGATCTATTAAACCATTTCCCCGAAATACCTACAGTGTTTTCATATGAAACAGAAAAAAAATCACTAAAGCTATGGTTTGCCAGACAATTACTTTGTCAAATCTCAAGAAATTGCATAATAAATTGTATACATGCATCAAACATGAACAGCAGAGTATAACAAGCTATATCTTTCCAGTCCACTTGCTCTTTCATCTAAACAGCAGCTTTTGTTTTCAAGAACAATTCTATATCCCTTTTGAAGGCTTTCATAAAATATGGCTATACATTTATCTATCAAACTAAGTAGAAATAATTGAAACACTTAATATGCACAGTAATAGGGAAACACATGAATAACTTCATTATTAATGTCTATCGATTATTTATGTTTACAAATAGGCAAATGTAGCTGCTAGTATTTTGATCATTTAAATCTCTGTGTATTTTGGTTTTACCTGTTTATTGGCAAATTTGCAATCTACATTATGGGCATTTTTATTGCTTTACACACTTACTTGACGTGTACATAACTGAGGTCAGTTTACCAACTGACTAGTGTTTACTCAATTTGATTACTATGTTACATTTCTGAGCTTATTTTTCCAAAGGGAAAATTAACTGTACAAGGAAGCCCAGTAAATCTTTACTTAAAAATTCCAAACTTTAGATTGATTTCAGCAGTGAGTTTGTATTGATCTCAAAAGCTTTGCGTTCCTAACTAAAAACTAATCTTTATTTCACCTTTTAGTGACTGCGGTCATAAATAAGCTCACTCCTACCCATGTAGAGTGGATTAATGGTTATTGGAGATTGGGGCTTCCAACTGAGTCTGGGAAACCTTAACCTTTGGAGGAAAACATAAAGGCACTTACCCCTTGTCAGCTATAATCCGTGGGTCCATTTTTGACATTTACCTGAGTGTTAAAGAGGAAGCAGAGCAAGGACCGGGGAATAAAGCTCTAGAGATTCTGCTTGGCTGTTAATCACTCACTGTTAGATTGACTGCTGTACCTGATCCAGCTGCTTCCGGCCATCAGAGTCACCAAAAGGCATGGCCCCTCCACTCCACTCTGGAACCCAGGTAAACTCCTCCCGGGGAAGGCTTTTACCGCCTGCCTTCGAGGAGGGGCTTATTGCGTTGCTAAAACCCGTCTGTTATTATTCTTCCAAATTTGCTGTACTGATGGAGCAAACATTTTGGGAAGTGTGTCCAACCCATTTGCAAGATCTAATTATAGAGGATAAAAGAGTTAAAAGGGAACAGAAGAGAATTTGTTATCAAGGGGTGATCAGTAACATTCCAGGCAGTGGCGGACAGATGGCTGACAAATGGTAAGGAAGCTGTAAAGCTGGGTTTCTCAAAGCATGGTCCTTGGTACCTCTCGAATCACAATAACCGAATTAGAGTGTGAACTTAGAATCTCCTGGACGCCAGCATCCCAGACTTCAACAAGCACTCCAACAACATGTTCCCCAAGTGTGAGACCCACAGTTGTAATGTGGGTGTGTTTTATCCCTTTATCACTTTCTGTGATGGAAAGTAAAAATTTTGATTTTCTTGGACCCGATGGCAGACATTACTATTAGGTAACCCAATAGCCATACTTTTCTTTCTATTTAATAATGAAGCCTTAATTTTCACCTAAGCTCCTTTTTTATCATTTCCCAGCGTTTCCCAATTATCATTTCCCAGCGTTCCTCACAGCTAGGCGCAAGAGGGGTTTTTGCGTAGCGCTTATAAAATGTCTCCTTTAAAAATGGGAGCATGCCCTTTTTCTTCCTTTTCTCCAATCTGTCACCTAAAACGTGCCTCTATTAGCTGGAGCCTCAGCAGCACACCCTGGACCCTGATGACGAGGCTGATGGGATTGGTGGGTCAGAGAGCTTGCCAGGGTCTGGGTCCCTGATGGTTTCATGAAACCACCACACTGGTCCTCGGCTGCATATGACTGGATCTTTTTTACATGACAGAATAAAACCTGCGTGTTTAACCCCTTACTGGGAAAGGGGAGCCACTGTACTTCATAGCTGAACGAGATTACTAACTGGTACAGACACCATTTAAGACTACGGGTTAACTTCAGGCAGAATTCTCCCACTGCAGATGACCCCAACTTTCCCCCCGAAGCATTATTTTTGGCTGTGAGGGTGAAAGCTGTGTCTAAACAGAACAGTGTTATGTTTTTGAGCTCTGGAGTCAGAGGGGTGCTCCTGGTCCTGTTTCGAATTTCAGAAAGGTATGTGTGTTCCTGCCTCTTGTCCACAGAAAGGTGATAGGTTTGCAGTGGCTAGGTGGCCAAAGGGGTTCTAAGGAGGGTGGCAGCCCCAAGGACAGACATGTGTGCAAGAATCTAGATTGCCTGTTAAAGCAATTGATTACTTAGTGGTGCCCTCCATGCTCCATGAAGCTAACCTTTATCAGACTTAAGGCTAGGACTATTACATATGGATGAAATGCAGTGTCTTAAAAACATTCGAAGCTTACTTAAAGTGTCCCTTTTACCTTGAGAAGTAGAGATTGTATTTCTTTCCTCCCGTTAATGTTTTTATTTTTTGTTTCCAAATCTGATGCTATCAAGTCATTATCTTTGAGTAGTTATAGCATTTCCAACACTCACTGTCGAGACTCTTTAAGATAACATGCAAATACAGCAGGCAACGTAAGATTGTCTTTCCTTCACCGATGCTGGCTCAGTTATTGAAATCATTTATTAGAGGGTTTTTCCCGTTTCCCTTTTCTCTCTCATTCTGCTATAAATGCAGTTACAACTTTTAACATGCTTACCTTTATAGATACATTGATTAATGGGATGGCTATAGATCCACTTGCAGGATAATTTGTTATTAAATTTCGCATCCAACATCCAGTGTGACCCTGGTTATGTTAGAACAGGGATTCTCAAAGTGTGGTCCCTGGGCCAGCAGCATCAACATCACCTGAGAACTTGTTAGAAATGCAAATTCTTGGACTCCATCCCAGACCCACTGAATCAGAAACCCTGGAGGTGGGGCTCAGCAATTGGTGTTTTTACAAACCTTCTAGGTAATTCTGAGGCTCATTCAAGTTTGAGAACGAGTGTTTCAGAGTAAGTCAGTCTAGTCATATCTTCAAATCCACACACCAAGAATGCTTAAAAGTTAATATTCCTTAATGTTTCCTCACAAGTGAAATCTTAGAGGGATGCCTACATGTTGGCTGGTAAAATAATATTATTTAATGAATGAACATCTAAATGAATAATATTTAAGTGTGATTTGCCAATGAATTAGGGGGAAAAATCTATGGAGTATTAGGCCAAACTCATTTGAATGGAGAGGAAACTTAATGAAAAAAATGTCCCCATTTTCTCATTATATATTAGACGCTAAGACATTTGACAAAGGTTAATACTCACTGACTTACAGACGCCCTCGAGACTGACTTATTGTCTTCATTTAATAGAAACACAAACTCAAGATAGCCATGGGTCATACTCATGAGGCCAATCTTCTCTCTGTGTTATTATTAACTACTCTTAGATGGGAGAGTATAATTTTTCAAGAACATAAATATAATATTTAGGAATTTGTTTAAGTGATCCTTAAATCCATTTCTAAACTATAATCTAAGTTAGGATATTATGCTCCATTAGTTTACTGGATATGGCTTACATAGTATTTTTTTTAAAAATTATATTAAAATTAAAAATTATCTTTAGAAAATGGGAGAAAATAAAACAAAGAACCTCTTTAAAACAACCTAGCACCTAGATAAGTGCTAAGTTTATTAAACTTAGCACTTATTGGCATTAGCCAAATACCTTTACTAATATTCCAGGATTGTCATTCTAACCAGATATTTCAGCATTTGATAATAGTCTCTCTTAGCTCTGAGACTTTTAAAAA